AACTTTAGCTGATTCCAGCTGAGTCCTAAACACTGCTTAGAAGGTGGGAGCTTAGAAACTGTTGCTTCTCCTTACACATCATCCTTGTCTTACTTTATTTCACCCCTTTCCTAATTCCCATCCACTCAAAAGTACTTTATCTTAGTTGACCAACAGTATCTTTAGCTGCACCAATGCCAGTCTAAGACGAGGAGCGGGGCTAAAAGCACCTTACTATGAAGTTTGATCCTGGTACAAGTCTGACAGGTCTCAAAATGGCTGCAGCCTCTGCCGTTATACTAGCAGCTACACCTGATCATAAAAGGTATCCTTCTTTCCCCAGAATAATAAAGAGACTACTAAACATATTTCTCCTCTTCCTCAAAAAATATTACTAGCTAAACCCAAGTACATTAAAACATAGTACATTTCACTTTCCAAACACAGCTTACCGCTACTCCTTCCCCTGCCCTGTATCGTCCCAAGGGACAGATTTTTCAGCTAAACAGATATTAGCTATGATTTGCCTTCAGACACTGCTTGACAAAGTCACAGTGCCCATACATCCAAACAACTGCATTTGCCCCGCAGTATTACCACACCAACGCATTTAAGTCAAACACACCTGGGCAACCTGTGGGCTCAGAAACAAGTTCATGGAAGCTTTAGGGTCTTGTAAGCAAGCAGCTTTATTTTACAGTGCTTCTTGAAAATCAACAGATGACAGGACCAGAGTACAGAAAAAGCATCTTCAACATGACTGACAAACAAGTAAATTCTGAGGAACTTCATGGGTACAGCTGACTTCACACTGAAGCTGTGCTAAGAGTAGGTATCCATGGTGATGTAACTGTACTCACAGGCATGGTCCTGAGCTACCTACAGCAGCAGATTTGGTTAGAAGAGATTTATATCCTCAGGGCACAGTAAAAGTCTGCCTGCATCTCTTACTGTCACCCTGACAGACCTGTCCAACAGCTTCTGCAGGTTACAGTCTGCACTCTGTCACTCAATAGACAAATTCAGAATTAGACCTGCCTTCACAGAGGAAGCAAGCTCCTTAAACTCTCATCAGAGCTATGATTACTCACAAAGTTGCTTTTGCTCCTTGCCAAGAAGTAAACATGCAGCAGCATGCAGAAAAGATGATGAAACAAAAAGACATCAACAAGCAACATTGATATCATAATACCTGGGCTTACTCAGAAAATTATTCACTGTTTAGAAGGTCTTCTGCAGATTAACACACAGGAGGCTTAATAGCTGTAGACAATATCTGTTTATAATCCTTGCTCTTAACATGTTTATGTTCACATAGTACAAGTGGCTGGTTTAGGCTTTTTCCAGCCATGCTGATGCAGGAAGTATGTAAAACTGGACAAATAGGTAAGTAGAAAAAAGGAGACATGTTCTGGTATACTCTAACAAAAGTAAAATCCAATGCACCTTTTAACTTAGCATCTCTAACATCTCGCTGTAAGCGAGAGTCCCTGCTCTGGCACTGAGAAAGTCATCATCCTTGCTGTTATCACAGACATCATCATGTAGGTATTAAAATCAGACTATGGCATCTTCCCTCCTTTCCCACATGGGACCCCTGTCACAAGTGTTATTAAGAAATCACAAGGTTCATTTAATCTCCAGCGAGACAAATTTCTCATATTCAGCATCCTGTGCATAGGAAAAGATCTCAAAAGGCTTATTTATTTTTTTTTCACAGCAGACTAGAGCAAGTCACCTGGTGCTACAGCATGGCTCAAATCTGCTTGATGCACTGAATACCAACCCATGTAGAGGGCTTCACTGTTTCCTGTTGTGGCCAACAGAACCATCTCACTCACACAGCCCAGACCCTCAGTGCCTTAACTCCATGAGTGACAGCATAAGCAGCACTGCACAGATGGAGGAAGCAGCCCTGCCATGTGTAATGAAGCGAGCACATGGTCCTCATGTATGACCATACTTTGTCACCAGGGTTTTCATAACTGGAACCAATGTAGCATAATGATGACGAGCAGCAGAATAACAATACATTATGTGTTTGAAAGCAGGGCAAGCTAGCCAGCAGAAGAAAGATCCCTATGAATAATTCTTCAGCACTGCATCATGCAGAGATATTTACTCTCTTTCACTATGAATACAAGATACACAGCACTGAGCTAGCAGCATCACACTGAGCAAGCCTTCTGCACTCACAGAGCTGCTTGCCCATGCTCCAGAGACAACAGAAAGGTGATGGCATAAGAGTAACTTAACCTAGTATTTCTAAGCAGACACATATCACACAACTATCCAAGAGTTATACAGGATTTTAATGGCTACAAAGAAAAATCATGTAGCTATAATAAAAATAGTACAAAACAGGGCAACTCCCTGTGGGTGGTTCCTAGCCTAAGGCTCAAGGAAATCTTCACATCTTCTCTTACAGTAACAATACAGAGGAACTACAGCTGTAGCTGCAGTTGCAGAAGACCGTTCCTGCCCCTCAAAACAGCACTATTGTTCCAGAATGAGCCACAAAGGGGTAAAACCTGACTCGGCCGAGGGAAGCAAGGTAAAAAAGATTGTCGGCTGACCAGGGAGGCAAAGTAGGGCAGAAAAAGATGGGCGCAAAGACCAACCAGCCATAAGACTGCTGCCCAGACAGGAGGCTACATGGTTACAGAAAGGAAAAATACCACAATACAAGATAGGGAAAACTGGGGTGCAACCATAAAAAGGATGGGAAGATGCTGAGGAAGGCACACCCCATGAGGGATGCACCTTTCAAAGCACAGTGCTTTGACACAGTGACTTGTGCCATGTCCGACAGGGCCACGGGAAGGGGGTTAGGAAAGTGGCAGTGGGGGAGAGCTTGTGACAGGGTCCTTCAGGGAAAGCAAAGGGAGGTGAGGAGGGGAGCCCCCGGCAACTCTGATATGGGGAAAAAGGAGAAGATACAACTTCAGGGCCTGGGAATGCCCTTACAGGTCAAATATGTCAGATATATGAGATAATAGAGGGCAGCTCAAATCTGACTTCCATGACTCCAAGAAAATAATGCAGGTGAAGAAAGCAAGGAAGAAAAGAGGTAAGCCAGGGGCCTGCTCAGCCTGGGCACACTGATCACTTAAGACAGAGAGGCTCCCCAGCACGTCTGAACCTAGGCACTGGGAAGAAGGTGGCCTAAGCTGGGCTCTTGGGAAGGTTCCTACATGACTCCAGAGACGTAGTTTGGGAGTGCTACCTGCAGGGTGGCTAGGGACAATTCCAAGAGCCCGAGGGAAGTTAGGGGGTCACTGGCATACACTGAAGGGCATTTAGGGGGCAGCTATTGACCGGCACCTAAGAAGCAGTTAGGTATGGGGATCCCCGAGAAGCATCTGGGGGTTTGGAAGTCCATGAAGAACTGCAGGGGAAGCTGTTGTCAGCAGGTTTCCGAGGTGCGGTTTGAGGGTCGCCGGCATGTCCCTGCGGGGCGGCTGGGGAAGGGGAAGCGAGAAAATGGCCGAGTCCGTGAGGGGCGGTGGGGGCTGTGGGAGGGGATGGCGGGCAGGTCCCGGAGAAAACGGGGTGGGCGTGAGGTGATCGGTGGCAGGTCCTTGAGGGGTGGATGCGGGGGACGGGGCGTCACCAGCAAGTCCCTGAGAAGCGGGAGAGTGGAGAAGGAATCGCCGGCAGCCCCCTGAAGGGCGGGCTGGAGGGGCCCCCCGGCAGGCAACCGAGAGAGGTCTGGGGGGTCCTGGGCAACTCCAAAAGGAGCGCACTGGGATCGCCGGCGGGCATTCTCCGCGGCAGAGGCGCAGGCCATGCCGGGCGGGAGGGGAGGCGGCGGCGCTGACAGACGCGGAGGCAGAGCCGGGCGCAGCGCTGCTGGAGCCCGAGGCCCTGCCCGCGGCCCCCGCCCGCCGCACGCACCTTCTGGCGGATTTGCCCGGACGTAGAGACTTTGCGGATGAGTTTCTGCGGGGAGCCCGGCTCCTGCTCCGGCTCGCTGTCCGACGATTCCTCCGCCGCGGCGCTGGCGGCGGCGACCACCCCGGCCTGGGGCTGCTCGGCGCCCGCCGCCGCCGCCATGCTGCACGGTGCGGGGCGGCGCGGCCGGCGCCCCCTCCCGCCGCACTCTGCAGCCGCTCGCCCGTCCCGTCGCTGCGGCGCCCTCTGGCGGGGCCCGCGCGCAATGGCGCATGTCGGAGGGGAACCGCTGAGGCGAAGAGAGGCGGGCCCAGGCAGGCCGCCGGCCCCGGCCATACACACGCACCCGACACGGGCGAGAACGGGCACGGTCCCGAGCATCGTTCACACTGGCCCCTGCCGCGCCCGAGCGCACTATGATTGCTTGGAGCCAGAGAAAAGGGTTTCAGCTCAGACGTCGGGGAACTGGTGAGTCCAAAAGTTTGAATCTCAGTGCCAAGCACAGGGGTTGTTTCCAGCACTACAATTGTTCCATTTAAAAACACTACCTAAATCCTCCTCTCCCTAGGTAAGATCTGCTGTACCAACCTCCTGCAGACAAAAGTACTTTGCACCTCCTCCACTTCACGCATCTTTTTAATCACATACAGCACCAAAACTGGTTCCTGCTGCCAAATGCCTCTGTATTTTGCAGTAGAGAAACACTCTTGCCTGACTAGGCCTATCACCACACCATTCCTCATGGGTTCCATAAGGTAACACCACATTAGCTGCAGTCATGGGACACTACCAAGCATGTCAGCCGGGATTTCATGAAGATGTTCCGGGGGAAGCATCTGTCACCAAACCAGTCCATCAGCAGACAGCTAAAGCACAGAGGCCACTTACGTTTCAGAGATGCTATCGCTACCAGGGCGCATCCCTCTCCCAGAGCTGGCAGGCTTTCTATAAATGGAGTCCCACCACATCAAAGGCAGAGGGTCAGGAAATTGGATCACTCCCCCCCCCGCTGTAAACAGGGGCAGCAGGCTACAGGTCTTACTTGGTGGAAGATCAACACAACATCAGAACCAGAAGAAAGGGAAGATAAAAGGCAAACAGCTCCTGCTAGAGACCTCTTTTCTGCTGACTGAAAGGCAGGAGAGTACAAGTCTAACCTGGCCTGCAGCAGGACATGGAGGAACCAGCAGAAAGCCCTTGCTCTCTGAGTAAATGAGCAAACATCCAACATGGCTAAACAAACGGTCAATGTCTGAAAGTGCTTTCCTAAGGCCAGGCAAAAGAACAGGTTAACAACCATTTCAACTCCTCCCTGCTGCACAGCAGAGTGCACTGTGATTTTGTTACACAGCTTACAGAAGTCATCACCACAGATGAATTTGAGAGGAATTTGAAAGTCAGTGAGAGGTACCTCAACAAGGATGACACAGAAGAAGGAAAAAGAAAAAAAGGCATCAGGCCTCTAAGTTTGTTAGTCCCATACCTATGAGTGCAGTAGCCAGGAACACTGAAGCAAACAGCTCTGTGGAAGAAGCCACACTTTGAAGCAATACTAGAAGACTGTTGTACCTCTTCTTAGTATCTTTAAATCCTAAACACTAGCTCTCCAAAGCCATCATATTCACAAAGAGCAATTTGTTCAATTCTTACTGCATTGGTGTGGTCTTCACAAGCCACAAAGAACTTGGTAATAAAAATGCCAGGACAGTTATTGGAAAAGCCTGGCCAGAAATCCAAGTGAAAAATGCCTAGTCCTCCTCCAAAAGCCAAAGTTGAAATCATACAAATTACACTGACCACAAACACCTGAAAACGGCCACAGGGTCTCTTCAGCAGCAAAGCACACAGTGCTTAGAAAAGAGCAGAGCAAACATACCAACTCTTGCAATTTCATCTAAGGTGAGACAATTGTGACTAATGGAACCAAACACGGTTCCAGGTGGTACTGGGTGAGAACACTGATGGAACTGTGAAATCAGCTGTGGTCTTAATTCATCTTAATCGAGACCAGTTTACAGAAACAAACAGGAGAAGGCTTAACTTTTAACCCAATCTATTTGTATTAGAGGCCACACACAAAGCTGTTTGGTTAATGACTTTGGCCCGTCTGTAAAAGTAGGGCTTGTAACCATGATGAAGTCTGTAAGAAAAAATAAACAAAACTCTGCTCAGAAAATAAGGTCTGTATGTAGAGTGATTCTGCAGAAATACCAGAGTGCAGCCCACACTTCAACTGCTTTAGCTTGTCACAGTTACCAGTAGTAACCTAAGCCAAAGAGAGGGCAAGCTCGGTTTGTCAGCCTCTGCAGTGTGAAGCAGGACGGAAATGCATCGTGCTTGCAGCAGGATTTCAGCAGCAGTCCCACTCCTGCCGGGAGGAAGCGGACATCTCAATGTCTCCTTCATTTTCTTCTCTGTGAAAAGCGCATCGTTGTTCACTAAGTGAAAAGCTCTTAATTCCATTTTCCGGTGCATAGGGTGGAAAATGTAAGTTTATATTAAAAATGTAAGGCCCTGCATTCAGGCTTTCCAGATTTAAACCAGAGACATTGAAAAAGAGATTTAGAGCAAAAACAAGAGAAAGAAAACACCAGTTGTTTTACATGCAAAATGTAATTAGCTGATGCAACTCACTTCAGCCAAAATCTAAGTGAGATTCAGGAAAGGGTTAGACATTTACATGGATAATGAGAATATCCAGATCAACAAGAAAGAACAAAGTTTGCAGAATACAATCTCATTTCTTAAAGCATAACCCAACCTCTGGAAGATGGATGTTGGAAAAAGCTCTTCAGGGCAGGCTGCCCCGTAATTTCCTCCTTAATTTTACTGCACCCTCTTTTGAAGCACTGTTGCATACAGGAAATTAGATTACATACAGGATCAAGTCTGGACTTGCAGTTTGCTATTTGGGGTTATAGAAGGGGAGATCTGTTAAGGAATTAATAGTGCACATTTCTCTCATCTTTAATAATGAGGCTGTTAAGCACATTGCTAGAAAGCTAATATCGTATCTCAGCATTATAGCTGCTGTGGAAGATAACTTGCAAGAAATTTAATGGTACAGAAAGTGGATGTAAGCCACAGTAAAGGGTGCAAGGTCAGTGAGGATATTCACTAGATGAGTTTGGTAACGCATAAACAAAAAAGCAACCAAAAGGAAATAAAATCAGTTTTGTACAGTCCACTGAGAAACTTCAGTAAATCACCAAGGGCTGCAAGTCAGCCTTCCAGACTAGGATTTGGTTCACTAGCATTTCAAAATTAAGAGACTTTTTGACACAGAGTAAGTCTAGGCAGCAGCACCATCAGCAGTGCTGAAAGCAACCAAGCTTTTTATTAGGTAGCTCTGAAAGCAGGAGTCATGGCACAACAGCCTTCCCTGTCCTCCTCTGGTAGCGCAAGTAAGCATCAGGTCTTGAGTTTGCTACATTCCTCTAAAGGTGAAACTTTTAATAAGCAATAGAGATAATTTTATGTCCACTGACATCAGGGCTGATCCCTGGAAGACCATGCATGCACTGAGAACATGCAGTTTACTAGAAACCTAGGTCCTAACATTTCTAATTGATGCCAGACTACATATCTTCTCTGGCAGCTTGTTCTTTTAGTCACTCATCAGCTGAGGGCATATTCTTGTCTTCATCATCAGCCGTATCTTTTATGCCTTGACGAGCAAATTCCTCAAATACCAGCTCTGCTTCACTGAAATGGAAAAAAAAAAGAAACCAAATCACAAAGTTACCAATTTTTTTTTTATACCAGGAGACTAAAGGCAACAGATAGGAGGAAGAAGAGAAACTTGGAGTAGGCTCTGGTAATGTTTCCTTTGTCTTCAAAGGGATTTAGATCACATTCCCACAGGCACCATCTTAATTAGTGGTATTCTAGCTAGCATGAAAAGCAGTTGATTGAGCAAGTCAGGACAGAAACTGAGAAGGTTTTCATCTGTACCAAATCACGTCAATTCCAGCTAAGTGTTTATCAGCTAGCCGAACAGTCTGCAGCCTGAAAGAGTCTTTGTCTAGATACAAAATGTGAAACCTTTCATCCTTATTCCTTCTGTAGTAAAATAGGGCACATGGTCAAGTGTATTGAGTTCCTGAAACTCAGATTTAGAGAACATCAGCTGACCACAAACACATTCCTCCCTCCAACTGTGAGGCAAAACCATGTTCTCTTAAACTAGTTTCACATGGTCAGTCATAGCAGTTCAACTGATCAGTAATTTGTCAAGACATAATAACTTTCTCACTTTGGAGTTAAGTGTACTCTGTGGACCCCATGGATTTTCAGACAGTTTCAAGGACTTTTCAAAGAGTCAATTCACAACCGCAGCTAGCTAAAAGAAACTTACCCATCCTTCCCTGCAGTCATCAGCATGCAGTACAGGAGGAAAAAAGATATACCAATTAGTTAGAATAATGGATGCTAAAACCAGTAAAAACTTATAAACTGACAAGCCAGAACAGTGACAAGCAGAAGGATTTGCAGCAGGACAAGGAGAACTCCAGGAAGTCTCAAAACGTGCATACGTGCACCTGATGGAGCAAAACCTGATCTCCCAAACAGGAAAGCAACATTGCCCAAGACATCAAAAGAGCTAGGAAACAAAGACAGATTTTCCCATTTATGCTTGCTAGTGATCACAGCTGAGAGACACACCTGTGCACACATTTCTACTCAGAGATGAGAGTGCATGCATGACCTGATGTTAATTTTAGTTGGTCTGTCACTGTAATGTAAGTAGTCAGCTGATACGAAGATGATGTTCAATAAACATAAAGGTATTAAAATCAAACAGAGGTCAGAATACAGGAAGGCCTAGGTGGTCTCTCATTAGATAGGTTACATGCTTGAGGCAATACCCCTGTTCATCTTTTCCTAAATATAATCCTAAAACCTTTGGCACATGCACTTCTTCAATGAGATCTTTGCTAACCACACCACAAGCAGGTAGCAAACTCTGCTTGCCAGCAGGATTCTTTGGAAGCTGTTTCAGCACAGCCTAAAATAAGCAGAGCAGCCTGTATTGCAGGGATGAAATAGGGGTGGGGATTTTTTTCTTCTTGTTCTCACAGTTACTTTAGCAAGTAACAGTCACTTCATTGGCTTACTTCTCATGAGCTGAAGTCATGGAGCAAGGTGCACCTAGTCTATCTTTCTACTGAAGCTGTCTGAGATTTGAGATGCTTCAGTGACTAGATAACTCACTACCTTGAGAATTCCCACCCACAATGGACACTGAAATCAAGGGCAAGAAGAGGTGACTGGCACTGCTGGAAAAGTCAGCATTAAAAGCATGCCAAATGGGGCCACTCTGGCCAAAATGCCTCAAAGGATGGATCCTGTAAAGACCTTCATGATGGTGCCCATCCAGACTCAGAAAGGATATTCTCCTCTACTCACAGAAGCCAAGATGAAGTCTGGAAAGTTTCAGGGCATGCATGCTTGACTGAAATGGATTTAAAAAATATTCATTCATATTTTAAAAAAATGAAATATTTAGAACTTTTAAAATTTCCAATATATAGAGCATCACTCTCATTTAAATTTTTCTCCAATTTCTATTCTTTAAATAGTCTGCTCTCTTTCCCCACTTTGAAGTACATTCATTACTATGGGAACAGTGACATCAGTGGTGTGGGTGAAGCTGAGATACCTACCAAAGCAGTTTGAAGCCAATTTTACAAAATGAGTATTGTTTCAGTTAGACATACACTTGTCTGTCAGATAAATTATTACTGAATCAGTACATGGGTAGCTGGGAGTAATGTTTATCATACACACCAGATGTATTCAAAGATGCACTACTTTACCTTCAGGCTGCTATACTACATCCCATGTGCTTGTTAAATAGCAACATTTGCAGCTTAGGCCCACTCCACATAGTTGTCTTGCTGTCCTGTGGCTTATTTAACATTGTAACAGACAAAAATTCTCAGGAGCCTGATAATGGAAAGACTTTCCTTTTTTAACTGCCATGCCAGCAGTTGTTTTAAGGGTTGGGATAGGAAGGTGCTGTGTTCAAGGAACAAGAAGGCTCCAGAATGGCATCATACTCTCTGCAGAGGGTTTTCTGTAAGCTTTTATTAGGCAGCCACAGAAATGATTCCGTATAAAGTTGTGGCATATGGTAATTTTCATTATAAGCTTGCTTTTAACCTCTCCTAACTTCAGGGCGGGGGGGGGGGGAAGGGAGTAAGCACTGTTATTTTTCAAGACATTCGAGCGCTTTAAAAATCCCCTAATTTCTCAAAGTTACAATACCAATATAGGGCAGGCATAACTTTACTATTAAAGGAACAAAGCATTTATGGGTTTCTTCAAACCAGCCCTTTCATTCAAGTTTAACAAGGAAGCAGATAAATGACTATTTGTTGAACGACAGCCAAAACAAAGGCCAGTATCCAAGACATAGGCCCACAAAATGTAAAACATCAGGAGAAGGGCAGGAAAACCCCAGACCAAAGAACTCACGCTGAGACCACAGCCTTGAGAAAAACCCAGCAGGAGCTTCTGGGCTAACTGCTGATTGGGAAAGGTCTTGGAAGCATGAAGAGACACAGCCCAGTTTGAATCTATCTTTAAAAGAAACAGATCTCTCTACATTTTTGTCAACAGGCGGAAAAGACAGACTTGCCAATGTGACAGGAGCTGCTTGCACTGAAAATAACCACCTGTGAAACACATGGGTACAAAAGCAGTTACAAAACCAGCGCACATGAAACATGCAAAATGCTGGCCTACAAGAAGACCAAGACAAGGAAGCTATAAATAAATATGGGAAAGGAAAGGTAGCAAGCCATTCCTTTTTTGTCTCCTCCAGGCACAGAGACCAAGCAAGCTGCAACAGCCACAGACTCTGAGAGACCTGCTTTTTACCGAGTGCTGAATGCTGCACGGCTCACTCACAGACAAATAAAAAGGGCAAAGTAATCTGCTGTGAAATAAAGCACACAGAAGTTCATCACACTAACCCCACTTTGACCCCCCCAAAATTAAACCATGTTCTTGAGAAGCTTCTCTTTTTGAGGTTGTCTACACTCAAACCAGCCCTACATGATTAAATATACTGATGCTACACATGTTTTAGTTATCTTTGCCATAAATCATCTTGGCTAGAGAAAGGAAAATTATATTGCTCCACCGCAAGGAATAAATCATAGTATGCAGTATCTTTTCATCCCAGTTTAGCTTTGACTCTATAAGATGGTTTGACTTCTTTCCTTTTTCCCAGCTGCGCCTTAAGATGAAGTGAAAGTCAAGTCAGCGGGGAATGCAATAGGCAAACTGGTTGCTACTGACTCATCCATAAAAACAAAAAGGAATGGAAAAAGAAGATAAGAAGTGATGGCAGAATTCCCTGTCCATGCACCCCTGTCTACACCCACTGCAGAGGCTGCAGAACAAGCCAACAAAGAAAAAGCCCATCTTTTGGGGGCTTTGAGAGCCTAAACACTGTTGAAGCTCCATCTCTGCAATCAAGTCTTGATTCGCTTGATTCCAAATTAGATGGTGTTTCGCTAATGAAACACATTTTATTTCTCAGAGTTTATGAGCTAAGGTGGTAGAATAAAAATTTAAACCCACAAACTCACAATTAGGAAGCGTGATTAGGCACAGTGCATGGAAAACTATAAAGCTAAAAGTAGTTTACATTTACCATCTTCAAATGGGAGGCTGTCTTATTCCCTATAATGAGCTCAGACACCACATTCCAACACAGTTTTCAAGTCAGCTGTGCAGGCTTCAGAGGAATTTGCTGTTGTGTTACAGTATCTTTTTTATGAGAAAACATTATTTCTGGAGGTAATCATTTGTAAGGCTTTCCCATGGGAGCTCCTGAAAGGCTGAAATTTTGTTTCTCATAACTGAAAAAAAAATACAAGTTTTCAGTTTACAAGAAACCTGAAATTTCAACCTGTGCAAAATACATGGAACCACAGCTGTCTTCTGACAGCTCCTAGAAGACTTTGATGTAGCAAACAATACATGGGTTATATTGTTTTGTATTCTCTTTGGTTAAGAGAATGGGTTGGGGGAAGCAATCTAAGAAATATCGCAGTTCATTTCCCTTGTAAAGTCTTCTACCCACATCATTTTGAGTGTCCTATATAAAGGAGTATATCAGCCATCCTCTGAAATTATGTTTTAACCGAAAAATTACTCCCATTTTCCTCATATTACAAATACTTATGCCAGAATGATCTGCCTGAAGCATAAGTAATAAAAAAGGGATGGTGGCACTGTTAACACCAAAAAAATGTCATGTAAAAAATTCACACCATTCTAAAAATATAAAATCTACAGTTGCCTAAGTCTTCGGATGATCCTTGTTTTAAGTTTTCAAGCTTTCATAGAATCATAGAATCAGCTCGATTGGAAAAGGCCTTTGAGATCATCAAGTCCAGCCTTTACCCCAGGACTGCTAAGGCCACCACTAAACCATATCAGTGGGGGCCTCATCTTCACAGTTTTGAACACTTCCAGGGACAGCAATTCCACCACTCCCCTGGGCAGCCTGTTCCTTTCCTCCATATTCATGAAAGCTCCTAAGCTGCCCACCCAGCACCTCTGCCATATGGGGCTCCCACTGACACTAAATGGCCCTCACCAGACACTGCTCCTGGGGCCACTAGTGCCACCCCTAGCCCCTCATCAAGTACCTGGCAGGGGGATTGCTGCAGGGAAGCGTGAGGGAAATGCTTCAGCATGTACAAGCTACCAGAAGAGACAGAAGACCCCTGCCAAAGCAGTTCTCCCAATGAGGCATCCATATGAGATCAAGTGTGCAGCTATCTCAGTGTTTTGCTGGCAGAGCTTTGCTGACCTGCACCATGAAAGGGAAACCCCCAGTGTGGGCACAGCTGTGCCAACAAAAGCATTTGCTTCACAGCAGCTTCTCCAGGGTGATCCAACCTTATTAGTCCTATGGACTAATCTTGAGGACCCAATTTCCACTTCACAGGACATTTGGGGGCAGGTCTGGGCTGTGTGCTGCTGTGGGGTGTTGTGTGCTAGTCCCCAGTGATGTGGCTGTCTCCTTTGCAGCCACAGCATAAAGGCGATAAGAGGAGAACAGATCTTGTGGATTTGTCCTGAAAGTGCTTCCCAGACTCATTGTGCTACTCTGATGGGGGGCATAACATGCATTCTCCTATGAGCATGTTCTGTCTCTGTGCTAGCAGGCCATGCTGGCACAGCTCACAGCAGGGCTTCTCCCAGCGAAAGTGAAAATATCCTAAAATGCAGTTCTTAGAAGAGTGAAGAAACTTAATTCTGCTCACTCAGGCAATTCCGTAATTAGCAAACACGGATTCCTAACCAGAGCAACCGAATGGAGAATGGATCACCAGTCTCTCCTCATCACTCCCACTTGATTCCTCCAACAATTTCATACAATAAGGACTCAAGTCCTTTCTAATGCTTCCAGTATAGAGCAAAGCACCTATCTCAGGATAGCTCTTCCTACAGGGCCCACCATTGTCCAATGGTTTCTTAGAAACAGCAGCTTTAGGTAAGGTTGGGCCCAAAGAGAAAATTAAAAGAAAGAAAAAGAAAAGTAACACAGAAGCAGCCATGGGGTTCTGTTTGAAGCCCATGTAACTCTGTCCAAATACAGAGGGCAGGACAAGAAGACCTATCTACAACAACCCCAAAACTGAAATGCTGGCATAGTGGGGTTTTTTTTGTTCAGTAGCTGCCTCAGATTCAGGATTCAGCTGCCTCAGGAGCTTCAGATTCAGTGCAGGCACCTTGCAGTTTCTGTATGTTCACCATTAGACAGCAGAGCCAGCCAGGGCCTGAGGAAGTGGGAGGAGAACACAGATGCTCAAGAAAGTTTTGGCATCTGATCTCAAGCCTCCACATGACTGGGGAAGGCTAGCTGCATACACTGCTTCAAAGTTCCTACTAACTGACCTGACTCTGAAGAGACATTCCTCCGAGATAACTACTGAACAGACACCATGGCCAAGGCCACATAAAGGTAATGGGAACTATAAAATCATGTACAGTTTTAGTACCTCTCAACTTTGCTTGAAAGTATTTTGCTTTTTACATTGCTCATGTCTTAAGTGTTTTCTGTGACAGCTTGTTTGCTATATTGGGATCTGTCTTGGAATTGCTGACAGCTTCATTCAGGACATTCTGCACAGCAGTCATGAGATTTAACTGCTTCCTCAAGCACTGCACTTTAAATTCTGATTCCACAGATGAAAGATAAAACCAGAACATGATCCCTTTCTACCTTCTCCCGTCTTAGCATCTGCCCTCCCTACTGATTTGTGCTTTGTGGTTGAAAGAACAACATATATACACACATGCAAATACATAGATATACATACAGAGCAGCCCCCATACTGGACTCTTGTAGACTCTAAAGGTTTCCTGTGGAACAAATCACTATAAGCCTTACAATGGTAAGATTTCATCTGAGTCTGCTAATGAAAAAAGACAAAAAACAAGAATAACTGACCTGCTGAGTTCTTTTCATCAGGCTTGTAGTGCATGAGACGAAATGGCAGCTCTGTGCCCACTTCACTTTGAGAAGAAGATAGAATGCATCAGATCCACAGCTCCATTCATGCCTGATTCAATCCCCTTCCCACCTCAGGCCAGCCCAAGCCCTGAACTCCAGCTTCACCAATTCTTCCATCTTTATCTAATCGTAAGTTTCTCCTCAAAAAGAGTTAAACTCTGATTTACCCACAAATATCCCAGATACAGCCACTTTAATAAACTGCATTTATCATGTACTTGCACGTACATAAAAGCAATGGTATTTCTGTAAGTGCTTCATTTTCACAGCTGAATGCACAGACTTCTATCAGCTGAACGTATAGTTATGTTTTTCAGGGAGGTGGGAAAGAGAATAGGTAAGAGGGTAAAAAAAAAAGACAAATTATCAACTATAACTGCATGGTCTGAAAGGGAAGATGACATTTACCTGGAGGTGAGGTCTCCCAGCATGCTACAGAAGAAAACAAGGAGAAAAACAGAAGCATATTTAGTACCTTTCCATTCTGGTGCTCTACCAAATGTTTTATTGGTAGACTATTAAAATCACCTTCCTCATATACTCTTCTCTACATGCTGCAAAGCACAACATGCAAATAAACTTGTTCTTAAAAAATGTAACTTTAACTTTTCATGTCCTTCCCATGAAGAACGTCTAAGTTTTGAACTCCTGACCAAGTTTTGGGCACGGCTCCTTTTCTGACAGCCAGAGGGCAAAGGCAATTGCAGGACTACAGGAGGCAGTCATTTTATCATGTTTTAGGCAAGTCATTGCCTCATTTTTATACCAGAAAGAAGGACAGATGAATGAAATACAAATGTAAACAGTGACAAGCATCACAGAGTTGTTGTCCTGGTCTTCTTTGGCACTCTATGCTGGGAACTATTTCATGTTAGTAACATGAGCTTCTCCCAGAAAGCTGGGTCAGTACAGAACACTGGTATTTATGACTCACAGTATTTAGGACTTGCAGGCAGATGTCTCTACCTCTGCTCTGGAAGAATAAGAATGACAACATAAAGCCTCACATGAACTGCAAATGAGAGATTTGTACTTCAGCTGAAAAGTCATCTGGTATCTAAGGAAGTTAATCCAACCCCTCTTGCTCAAGACAAGTCCTTTGGATAGGCCAAAATTGATTACTGGTAAATTTCTGCTTTAGAGGATCCTCATGTCTTATAGCTGTGCCCTTTCTCTTGGGGTACACTGTCCTGCCCTCTCCCCACTTGTCAATGAAGTACACACACTCCCCTCTTAAATCTATGCAGAAGCAAAAAGTTTGATACTCTTACCCTGGAACAGTGAGCTTCACTTTAACCTTGTAGGAAACCAGAATCCCCATCACTGTCTTGTCTATTCCATCCTTAATACTACCAGAGAAAACAGAGCAGTGTCAGGTGGCAACAGTGCAACATAGCAACAATGTACAGCTGGAGTGAGAACTAGGTGAACATCCTATTCTCCTAAAAGTGATAAAGCAGACACGGCTCAGGGACAGCTAATACCTCTCCAGATCTGTGGTCACTAGTTAACCTAAATGAATATGATAGAGTAAGTAATGCAACTTAGATGTACCCATCTGAACACACATTTACAGCTACAAACTCCTGATAGAAGTGTCTGCTCCATCGTCCCCTTTTCTTTATAACCCTCCATTTAAAACTCTACTCACATAGTACTAGAAGCCAAATTGGTATCCTCATCCTTTAGCCTTCCATCCAGAGCTATTTCCCGTGTCTCCCGGTTATTTGCTAGCAATGGCAGAAGTGTCAGTGTCTTGGTCAGACTGCTGTTTGGCTGCACCTTTTCTCTGAAAATAAGAAGCAGGTGAGAGGAGAAAAGTGATACACTCAGAATTGTGTTGCACACCCAACCAAAACAGATTACAAAGCCATCCAGAAGGAGTGGGATTTATCTGTCCAAATTCCAAATTGTCTACAATGCAGATGTCTACATCTAAGCTAGTAAAAAAATTCCCTAATCACAGAGGAACAAGCAGTTGTAAAAAATGATCCATTTCACATTAAGGAAGACTTCTAAAGCGGGTCTAAACTATGCTGCAGACCTCCAAATTTGGACAAAATGTATCCTAGTTGAGAAGACCAATTCTCAGTGAAAAACATGTCCCTGAGCTATAGAGCAGAAGACCAGAAAAGTGGAAGTGCCTGGTGTGTCTAACCCTCCTCACAAAGTGAAGTTCAATGCTGCACTGTGCAGTACAAAAGAGCAGGTGGCTCCCCACAATGCCAACAGGCTCATGGTTTTAATGGGCTTTCTAAGGCCAGAAGAAAGCAAATGAAATGGTGTGGAAGAAACTAACCTCAAGCTAGATCATCCATGACTTACACCCAAACAGCAACACCTTTCAGAAAAATGTTGCATCTCTATTTAATACAGCTTTCAAGCAATGGGGAGCCTTCCACAGCCCCTGCCAAGCTTTTCTAGTAGGTAATTACTCTTCAAACCTCTTCTGCAAACTCCCCATTCTCTGAATAAAGGTGCAGGGTCCCTGCTGGTTATGTGCAAAGGAGGCCAGCTGCCTGCATCCAGACAGTACAGGTGGTGTGGGACATACACACAAAGAAAGATGAGAGGAGAGAGCATTATAATAGTAGGCAACTGCCAGACTACAGCTAGGGGTACCTCCCATTACTGAGGAAGAGGGTAATTAAAAGGGTGTGAAGGAGCAAGAAGGGATAAGCAGAGCATTTACTCACTGTGCTTCCTCAGAAGCTACCACTTTTGTATAGAAATCACTGGAGTACAAAACCACATTGGCAACCTGCTCCACTGAGTGAGAAAGAGGACAATCAGTTTTGCATAAGCATCAGAAACAACACAGCTGCTCCCCTAAGTCTTGGAATGGAAGAAAGTATGGGGAAAACAGGAAAACTCATCCATTTGGAGCCTGAAGGGACCACCAGGTCAGACAGCCTGGCCTGGATAGAGACCAACAGCTCAGAAATGGACAAAGTCTACCTTCCTATCTTCCCTGAGAGGCACTCAGTCTTGATTTAGAGAAGACAAAGTCCACAACCTACAGTTTCCCTTGGGAGCCTACTCTTTCCATTATAAAGATCTTCCTCTTTCTTCTCTAAGCACATCTGCTTTCATCTCTGGTCACTAGTATCTCTTGTGTATCTATAGCCCACACGTTTGCATTCAGGAAACACCATCACCAGGCAGACTGCAGTCAAGAGCCTGTGATAATAAATAGCTTATATTCTCCAATCAAACACAAAAACCCTGAAACAATGGTGAGGAGAAAATATGGGGACCAACGAGGTCTTTCTAAATCTGACAGAGGTGTGTCAGCCTAAAACATTTGGCAATCACTAGACAGTACATCCAAGACCAGCTCTGAACTGGCTTTCACTGCTGTAGAGTTCTGTAAAAACCTCAGCAATGTTGCTCCCTCCCTGACTTCTCTTTCTCATACTTTGTGTCACAGACTGTCTTCCACAGGTCCGAGTGCAATGGGGTTTGTGGAATGAAAACATGCAGTGCCACAAGTAAAACACAGGCACAGGAGAATTCTCTGAACCTCAGCCCCTGCCCACAGCTTCCTCAGGAGAGGTTACACCATCACTGGCAGAGCAGCCTTTCTCACTTTGCCAGGTATTTCTGAAACCCCAAGCAAACTTGTATGCAACCTAAGGCACAATCACACTTAGCAGGAGCATCACATTGACAGGAGAGCCCTTCCCACTGGCCTCCCAAAAGGCAGCTTTTCCCTCACAGCATCTGACCTGTCCTAGAGGCATATGTCCTTGTACTAGAGGGGACATACTGGTGCCTGAAATTAAGCCAGTATGTAAGGAGTAACCATGAGTCAGGCAAAAAGCTGTAGTGTATCACTTGTTGAACAGCAAAGAAACAGAAACACGGTGGAGGGACAAATTCCTGACTTGTCCCATACTGCCTGCTTAAGCTGTTGCAAGCACTGGTTTCCTCTCAGTCCTTTCATCATTCAGTGTTCTTGCCCTCAAAGAGCCCCAAGCAACAGTAAAAAAATACCCTGGACTTGGATCTTCTTCACTGTTTTCTCTGTGCTGTTATTGATCATGACAGTGACTGGAATGGGCTCGCCATGGTAATACACCTGGAAGAAATGTGATGCTCAGATATCCAGCCAGAAGGCTTCTCCTAAGCCCTAAACCCCTCTAGTCATCCCAGATTAAATGTCCTCACAGAAGCCAGAAGACAAAATGCACAGAAACCCTTCCCAATGATTCATGACCCTTCAATGATATATTTAGCCTCAAATGTGTCTGGTCTCAGGCTCTCTTAACAGTAGCTACTGACAGAAAATACATCAGAGCCCTTAAGTGGTGGGACAAGTCAATTTCAGCTGAGACCATTCGAGTAACACAAGAAGTAGCTACTACAGGCAGCAAAATGCATATTGGCATGCCAATACTATGATGTCCACAGCCCAGAGCAAATTCCTCACCTCTTTACTGAGACAAGCTTTCAAGTGCAATGGCTTTTTGGACATGAAGAACTGCCAGGTGGTCTCTGCACAAGGTTGAGGTCCTGGCTGTTCTGGAGCATATTGCACCTTACGGATCAGCAGACGTGCAGAGTTCCTGGGAAGCAGCAGAGGAAAATGAGGTGGTACTTTGTGCTTGGCAGAGGTAGGAGTTCTGCATTCACACATGCTAACACCCAAGAAGTCCAATGACACGTGGGGTAAAGCTGAACAAGCAAACAAGGTGCACTACTGGACCAACAACCCATCCCCTTTAAGAAGGGCGAAGTTGAAGACACACAGGTTCTGTTACCTCTTATGAATTCTCTCTTCCAGATTCTCTGTTGAGAAAGCTTTCACCTCAAAGTCCACCCCACAGGTCTGCCAGATAGAGAGAGGGCAGCTGTGAAATCAGTGTCAGAAGCCAACAACATCTGCAGATGTTTAAATATCTTTCTGTACACCAGAAATTCTTAGACTCCTGCCAACTGCAAATTCTTCCAGCCTCCTACCATTGAAATAGAGACCCCTGCCAAGCCGTATGGCAGCATCCACCTGTTCCATGCTGCTTCTAGTAAATGAAGCTTAATTCCCAATCTTTGCCAGATAATATCCTTACTCCTAAAAGGTTTTCTGTGAGAGCAGTGCTGTAGTGGTTACAGCATGGTATGGGTTATGAGACTGACCAGCATACAAGGCTCTCCAGTCCACCCCGGGTTTCTGAACTGAATTTCTCAGTTGGCTTTATAATGCCAATCACCTGACTCAGGTCAATCTTCATCTTTCCCAGTGTCTAAGATTTATGGGTTTATACCACCATGGGACATCTGTGATTCCCAGATAACCCTCTACAGAGCAATATAGAAATTTTTGCTGGAATATCATCCCTTAACAAAACCCACAACTTATCCTTGGATTCTGCTGGATTCTACAACCTGTATTCACCTTGCCCAGCTGTTAGCCTAGCTCTGCTGTTCAGAGAAGCACCCTGCTAAGCGGAAAAGGTCTATTTTAAATGGTGTCAGAAATCTTGCAGAACATCTCATTATGACTTTTACTCCAGGGTTTTTGTTTTGTTCAAACACATGTAAAGGCCAGTCCTCTGCATTTGTTTTAATTCTGAAGTAAGACTTAACACATGCTATTTATAGAGAACTAGGAGATTTTAGGCACTCTGTCTGCTTTTGTCTCATGTAGCCTGACAGCTGCAATCATTTTATGTGCAGTCAACCTCCAAAGCATGTGGTACCCTTAAGGAAACTACAAGCTTTGCAGATTCAGTAGTCTTGCTATTAGACTAGATTCCCTTTCTTATTCGGAGAACTTCAGCTCCATGACACTCACTTGCAGCTCTTAAGTCAGGTTCTTGACATTTTTGGCATAGCACAGTAAAACCCATTATCACCTCAATTTTTTTTCAAGCTAGCCAAATGAATTCACATCAATTTTTTCCATCTGACTTTCCTCAACCATGTTAAGCAGAAGTGTCCCATTGGTCTCACCTTATCAACATCATGAGGTGCAGGCTGCAGACAGACTGAACAAGGCAGGTAATCTGGAAACTGTGGGAGGAAGAAGAGAAAAATACCCCAAAGCAATATTACACAGTTAATTACTGTAGTTAACATATCGCTCAGAAAAGATACAAAGCAATCCTGAAGACAACAGGTCCCTCACTGTAATCACAGAATCAACGAGGTTGGAAAAGTTCTTTAAGATCAAGTCCAACTGTTCCTCAGCACTGTCAAGGACACCAGTAAACCACATCACTGAGGGCCTCATCTACACTGTTTTTGAACACTTCCAGGGATGATGATTCCACCACTGCCCTGGGCAGCCTGTTCCAATGGTTGAATTTCTGTGAAGGAATTTTTCCCAGTATCCAGTCTAAACCTCCCCTGGTGCAGCTTGAGACCGTCACCTTGTGTCCTATTGCTTGTTATCTGGGAGAAGAGACTGACCCCCACCTCCCTACAACCTCCTTTCAGACAGTTGTAGAGAGCAATAAGGTCCCTCCAAAGCCTTGTCTTCCCAGACTAAAGCACCGCAGTACCCTCAGCCGTTCCTCCTAATACTTGTGCACAACTTTTTGAACTTCTGGCTAGGATAGGGGCCTTAATATACTAGGCCTTATCTTGCCTTGTAGGAACACATTCCTCTCTTCCAGAAATACTTCAATAGCAAAAAAAACGGGCAGGGGTCAAAAGAGAAAAAAGTTCAAAAAGCAGCTGGTCTAAAAATCAAACAGAGCCCTAGAAGCAGAGTCTGGAGTAGAAGCTACCACATCTGCCTCCTCATCCAAGATACTCAATACACCTCACAGCAGTGGTACTCACTGTTCATGTAGGCTTGAAGCTTGAGTAAAGAGCGTCCATGTCAGAAACACAATTAAGGCCATGAAAACCAGCCAGCCACCAGCCAGTATTCATTTGCTCCTGGCCTGGGCAGGGCCAGCAACTTCTGACATTGACTGGGAAGGCTGCAGAGTAACTCATGGGGACTGAGTGCTAACACCCTGTTAGAGACTCCAGCAGTTTGAAGATCACTACTTGTACATTAGTTGTTAATAACATTGCAGTGGGTAACAACTAGGCAGAATTGTTCAAGGACTTGTTTGTTGCTGCATCAGAGCATCTGTTTTTCAAACCTGGGCCTTCCTAGGTAATGCTAAGGCAGACGTGTCACTGACAGTACTGGAAGCATATCCTATCAGAATAAGAGTTTGGCAACGAGCTGTTATTTTTGAAACATCTGGTAAAGAGCTTTTCATCCACTTGTTTGATCCATAAAGTTTTTAAAGAGAAAAAATTTAGCACTTCTGTGAGCAGTGAGGCAATGGTAGAATGTATTCCAACCCTGATAGCCAGTGCGTATTTCCTTCTCTTTTCAAGAAAATGACTTTTTCACATAGTTAGGATCTTCTTGCACTTTACCACTTAGGACAGCAAGAAAACAAAAATGGTAGATTGCCTGTAACTCAATATTGGAACATTGCATAATATGAATTCACTGTTAATCCCCGTCTTCTCTCCATCACCAAGTCTCGGCAGCCTGATAATAACAGGTAAGGAGAGGAGGGTCAGAGGCTCCTATAAGATACTTACTGTAAAGAAAAAGGGATAAGCATTTTTCCCCAGCTTCTTTAGCAGAGATTCCTGCAAGTGGGAAAGAGTCTCTGGCTTGTCAACAGGTGGGTACACTTGGACCCTAGAGAAGTATAGGTCCCGTCGGAAAGTGAGGCCAATCACATCAATGTCTTCCTGGCCATACCGGAAAGCACAAGTCAGGGACACATACACTGGAAAGAAGGACATGATGGGTAAATCATGCTGCAAGCTAACAATGCAGCCAGCACAGGATGCAAACTCTTCCTCCACTACACAGCCAGGGAAATCCATTTTGACAGTGTTACATAACCTAGCCAGTACTTATACCACCTGTAAGAAAACACATTACACTAAGTAAAAAGCCCATTCACAGGGAGGAAAGTTACATTTGTACCCTTAAAACAATAAAAATAAGAGATTCTATCTCAGCATCTCACTTCAAAAGAGGACTGACAATCTCTGAAACATACAGCGCATAAAACCTCAAACCTTTTTTCTCCTTGAGAAGTGTAGGATCCACCAACACAACACCATCTGAAAGAAAGGAAAAAAATAACAAACATTATCAGAGGATAACCAGGGTTCAGAGAGCAGGAAGGGCAGCACATATCCTTGTGGACTTACCTACAGGCTCCACACTCCCTATGTTGTCAACAAAGTCCCGCTTTCCCAGGTAGATAGTCAGCTGTAGGGAGATACGAGACCATGGTTGAACCACAAATTGTTGATGGTTGTGCGTCTGTGTGTCACACAGATAGACACACAACACACAGCGATAAATCTTGTAGAGATCAGAATAATTCTATTTTAAATGGATTTTCTTTTCCAGCAAACATGCAATTCACACCAGGCAATAGAACTATTTACATGCTTCAGGACATCAGAATTGAAGACCAGATGTAGACAAACTCTCAAGAGTACAACATTAATTCTTGTACACAGGACAAGAAACTATAAAGATTTTTGGCGCCATCAGGCTGGAAAGACACTGAATTACCTTTGTTTGTTGTTAAACATCTATCAGCAGGAGTACAACCCAGGAGTAGAGAGAGGCGAGTTGCCTTCCTGTTGTATTATGAGAAGCTTGGCCTATACACTCTGTTTACATCATCTTCTCAAACTTAGCACTAAATATAGTTCATGGTCCTTCTTCAGAAAGTAATGAAGGAGACAGGAAATAACTTTCTAATAAGTCTTTACTTGTCTGACTACAAGGAAAACTCATACCTATATAAACCCATAGTCACGGTACTTACAGCTTTGTCACGGGTGCTTTTTCTGAAGATAACTTGTTTTTGAGAACCAGCATTCTTCCCATTTGTCTTTTGAGACTCGGGGCAGCTCATGATCAAAGATGGGTATGTGACTGTGGGTGAATGAAGATTTGCTGCCCCAAAATGCCCTGGGAAAGATGTCAGAAGAAAACAGGTGGATGAGACAAAAGCTGAATTATACTTGGTGGGTAAAGCACTCTATGCTCCCATGCATAGTTTACCAAAGACTCCTCTCAATAGGTACTCACACACAGCACAGAAGGTTGATTTCTTCTTATTCTAGCAGTTCCTCATTAAATAAACCCCGTAACAACTATTTAAAAACAGCTCTTCGGAAATACTACAAAAGACCAAAAACTCCTTCTAATTTGTATTTAAAAAGTAATAGACTAATAGAAAAAACTGGAGCGGAAGGGTTAGCTTGGCCTTTGCTGAGAGTTTTGTAGTAAGTTTGTGAAGAAATCTATGAGAGTACAGATAAAGGTAATCTGATCAACACAAGGTACTTTGATTTTCAAAAGTTTCCTCAAGATTTGTCATCAGAGCCTCTAAGTGGTCATAAGAAGGAAGGACATTTCACTTGTTAACAATCAGATAAAATACAGGAAATAACAAATATCAGTGCTTAAGGGTTTTGGCTGCTTTAAGGTGTGTGGGGGAGTGGTTGTTTGGCTTTGTTTTGGTGGTTTTTTACCACTACAAGTATTCAACAGTGCAATGTCATCTGTCCTGGGACAGCATATCCTTGACTGAATGGAAAGAAGCCTAGATAAGGGGTGAAAAGTCTGCCCACAGACACAAAGCTATTCTGGATTCCCCAAAATTAAGCTATGTTAAGCTGGAAGAGCCCTTCATGATGCAGATGGAATAGGTGATGAAATCCTGTACATTCTATAATGGTAAGTGAAAAGTATTGCACTCAAGGAATATACAACTATAGTCTGACACGTGCAGTTACACTTGGTATCACGTCAAGAGTGTGTCTTGATATAAGGAGAATAGTTATTAGGAAATAAATCAAGAACACAAGAGAATGCCATCTATACCGTTTCAGAGCTCCTTACATACCCACATCTTGGATACAGAATTTTCAGTCTAAGACTTAAAAGGTGGCATGTATTAATAAGCAGTCAAACTAAACTCAAAACAAGAACTTAACTCACTCATCCTGCTGCATTTTACTAAATCAGAACTAAATGCAACTGGTTACTTGCAGGGTAACACTGAACTCAAATCAGAACAGTCTTCTGGAATGTAACAGTCCAGCTATGGGTCCAGAAAGGTAACAATTATATCCAGGGGTAGGATACAGCTTGTATCCAAGGAAAAAAAACAGGTGGAATACAATTCTTCAGGGAAAGGGAAATCACCAACATGAATGGATTCACAGAGTTAGATGTGTTCACAGGCAAAAAAAAGGCTTTTGGCAGATAGTGGACAGACAGGACAACCCATGTGCAACCTTAACCCCCTGACTCTGAAGCTGAGGAGCAGCATCAGGAAAGGACGATGCTACACGTGCCCTGTTCGTACGATTCTGCCCATTGGACCTGTGTGAATTACCGTACTGTGTTAGAGACTGTTGGTCTGACAGTGTGTGACTGTCCTTCCAGTCTGCTTCCATACTATTTTTCTTCTTGTTTTCCCATTTAAAAACTGTTTCAAAAGTAGAAATAATTTCTAGGTCTTATTTACATGCAACAAACTGTAGAAAAGAAAACATTTCCCTTCTTGGAAAGCTAGGGGAAAAAAGAAAAGTAAGGTTTAAGAATTAAGGACAGACTTAACACACGTTTAAGAATTTCTATCAACTACAGGTAAGTTATCCAACTCCAGAATAGTATTTGCTGCTGAACAGACACCCTATTCACGCTGTAGACCCAAATAAACAAACCAGCAAATAAAATCAAATACCTTGCTGCGTTTCAAATGCCACAGGAGCTGCCACAGGACAAAGACGTGAACTCCTAACTACTGGAGAAAGATGGATTTTCCACACAGCTGTGTCCTATTCTTCTTCACATCTACCTGAGAGAATCACTAACCTCTTCTCAAACAAGGAAGACAATTTGTAGGGGATTTGAAAGCACGTCCCTCATTGCGTCCCATCCAGGATTTCAAGAATTAATCCCCCACCAAAAGCAAATATTGCACCTGGGCTAAGATTCAACTAGAAAGTGGTTAAGTCAGCAACATGAAGCATTACCTAAGGAAGCTCAGATTATTAATGAAGAGGTCTCCAATGTCAAACTCACATCTGCAAAGACTACAGACTTAACATAGAACAGGATGGTTACTGAAAGCAGCTTTATTCTAAAGCTCTTTCTCTATCTTCTTTCTAAGGTTGTAAGCCATCCAGCCTGATAAACTGAACAAAGAAGAGCCATTTATGAAAAAAGGGAGCTCATAAAGCACCAAACCAAGTCTCTATAAATAGATGCCATTATGAAAGACTACCAAACATTGAGAACAATGTGTTATTCTCGTAACGACTATGCTATTTATTATTGCTCCACCAGCATCCCACTGGCATACTGATGCAAAACAGTATATTGCTAGCTAGTACACCTCCCCTCCTTAATTGACTTACGGAGTGAGGCACAACACCCAAGATCTAAGACACATGAACAAAGATTTCAGTCAATTTAGCTTTTCTGTTGATGAATGTCTAAGCATAGCTTCCACACCCCACCCCCCCCCCCCCCCCCGAATTTGGTCTTGACATTATGCACAACAGTATGTGTAATTTTTGGCTTACAAGCTGCATAAACAGCTGCAGCTTTCCTCTGGGCTGCATCTGTTACTTTGATTAGAAGGATCACATGATATCCCGCCCACTTGCCAGCTTGAACAGCACCCTCCATCTCAGGCAATCCTGCTGCCACAAATCAAGCTTGCTTTTCTTGCAAACAACCACCAACATTTGCGAATATAGTGGCCTGGGTACACAAGTTATCGCAACAAAATGAACACAGAACCAGTGTTCATCAGTTCTTTCAGTGTTTTCCAAATTCCAGCAAAATTTTATTAACTGGAGGTGGATTATTTGGAAAGCTTAATCACTAGTCTGCCTAATCATCTGGCACAGATAAGCCAGACAGCCCTAAACCATGGAAACTCACATGTGCCTGTGCTGCAGAAGAAAAGCCAGATCCTGGTTGCACAAAGTAGGGAAGAGACCCTGTAAGTTAACCCACAAAAATCAACACATTTGTTCAGTTATGCAATGCAAAAGCAAAAGAGAGAAGCTGGTTTTGTTAAGCTTGTGCTGCTGCCACTACAGGATTACTAGTCATTCAGGACAGGAATGAGCATTCCTGTTGTACCTGCTACTCCTCTGAGGGCCTGGGAGATGCGGGTAAATGCACCACTGCAAACATCTTCAGGGCAGCTTGGAAGCAGCTCTGCCGTAACACATGTTCCTAATGCACCCTGATGTCTGGAGAAAGTGCCCAGCCCCCGAACCACCTGAAGGGCAGCTGCACCTTTAGCAGAGAAACACTGCAACAGCCACCTCTGCACAGCAGGTACATCGATTCCTCCTGTTCGCTCTGCAGGCTGAAGCGGAAAAAGGAGTCACAGAAGTAAATAAACTATAGGGGAAAAAAATGGTTACCAGAATTTCCTACATACCTTGGTCCTACGGAATTTTAATCTAAAATGCTTAAGGTCTTAGCTAGCTAACCCTTATCCTTGAGTTTTACTAACCTACTACGTAACAGCATCAGCAGGCAAAACAAAGCCCTTGTGTAAGACCTGCACCCATGCTGTAGAAAACCACAAATGTAGCAGCCTGAGTTATAAACATCCTAAACCCATTCTGATCCTCCCCAGTACAGCCTGCAGTTTTTATTATGTTAATCTCCAATAATCTTTCATCATGCTGACTTGTCATTTAGTGATCTGCTTTCCTGCAGTAACCAAGGTCACCTGGACTCTTGGTAGGTGCCTTTTCAGGACCTTCTGCCACAGCAATAGGCAGAACAGAAAATAACTTGTCTTTAGAAATGCTTCAGAATGCCAAAGTGAATCTTTCCATTGTTGCTACAGTTCTCACTTCCAAGAGCTGGACAGAAGGCTACTTTTCTTACGGAAACAGGAGGGTGGTTAGTGACGGCTCTTAGTTATGTATGAATTTGTATGTTGAACAGCTGAAGCCTTTGTTTCGTTACTCTGAAGTAGGAACAAGAGCATTATCTTCAACAAGGGTTTCTGTGTTTTCTAAAGAAACGTGCAACTCCTATTCCTGGCTTAGAAACTTCAAAGGTAGCAGTCAAAGTGCCACAGCAGAAAAAGCCTTCTATTTTCAGTGGTGTCCGAAACACAGATACCAATTTCCTCAATTCAGTATTTTATCCAAAACAGCCAAGAACACATCAACCTTCCAAGGATAGAGGCATTTGTTCAACATGTTAAAACTACATTCAGTCTCAAGGCAGCATTCCCAAGACAGGGTTAGAACAGGTGTATCTGCAGGATGGCTAGCTTCAATCTAAGAGCATTATCTTCTTTCCTGCTCTATGCCAAATCCCACAATGCAGCTGAACACAAATCCACAACTCATCAGGAAAACAGCACAGGAGAACGCATTTCAGGATCCCATCTTCATTCAGAAGAATGAAGATCTCATTCAGATCTCACACAGACTGAAATAAATGAATCAGGCATTGTGGAGGTTTAAAAGCAGAACACAGGTTTATTTACAATCAAGTTCTTATGGGCAGCTGAATAAATAAAAACTTTGCCCCATATACTCTAATTCCCCTCTGCAGAAAGTGTCTGAACAAAAGGCTAGGTTAGAGAGATGCCTGTTATAGCAGCTGCCCCCTAATCCAGTCCCTCCAATGAACACACTTCCTTAGTAGAACACTACCAGGAAAGAAGAAAATAAAGTGCAAATAAAAAGGCAATAAAACGCTGGTGGCTTGTCTTGAGGCCCAGATGATGTGGAAAGGTTTGGCTGGATAAAGGTATGCCAGGTAGCTCACACCCAGCCACACCATGGTTTTGGAGACTTAAACAGGGACAGAGCCAAGACTCCACTCCGTAGCACAGAGAGGGCTCCAGCGCAAATGGGGATATTGCACGTGTGCTCAAGAAGGGGGAAAGTGGCCTGGAACTGCCAGCACCAAAACAATGAATTTGGGATTTAACCCCACTGCTCCCCTGTGCTCTGCTGACAGCCTCCAGGACAGGACGGAGAACAGAAAAAGGGACCAAACATGAATATTCCGGTACTGAAATCACAGTATGACTACATTCCTTATCACAGCAGCACAACAGAAGCTCAGCTTCTCTCTCCTCACATCCAGTAACCAAACTGCTTGTGGAATAAAAAGATAAAAATCTCCTATTTTGTAATACCCAAGGTGTTGAAGGGCATTTTAACAAAAGGGTGCAGAAGTCCTGAACAATGGACCACTGCCTTAAGAACAGGTGAAACTGATACACAGAGTTCACACAACAGTGTTGGAGAACCTGTGTCAGAATCAGAACAGACCTGAATTGATCTGGCAACTCAAAGGCAGAGCTGCCGGAACCATGGGAGACTCTTTAAAAGCTGTTCCAACACTTCAGGCTGCCTAGGACCTGTCGACATTTCAGGATCTTCTCACCCCATGCCTGAACTAGGCCACAAGAACAGAACACAGGAGACAGAACATGTATTAAGTCAGCATACACAGTAACTTCTTTCCAACATTCCAAACTCAGAGGTGCTTGGATACATTTGTGTGACAGGGTATTTGGCACAGCTGACTGGTGAGGAAACCCATTAGTATCTTCAGCTCCACTTGGTGCAAAGATACTTCATGTAAAGGCATGACTAAGTAGCATTCTCCATCCAGAACAACTAATCTCTTGCCGAGTCCAGTGCCACAGTGCAGTTATGGCACAAAGAAGTCTCTGACTCAGGCTCCTTCTCCATTGCATTAGAACTTTCCTCTGGAAAGTGAAGCCCATGCGCTGGTTAATATCCCGACTCCAGATGGATCTGGGCTTGGGTCTCCATTCTGTTCAGCCATGGACCAGCACCACCATACTCAGAGGTGTTAGATGCTCTGCCTTTCACCCTCCAACCAGTCAGAATTCAGACCACAGGACAGCCTTGTTTCCTTTGTCCACACTGACCACATGGGCACCCGCTGGTGACCACGCAACTGCATTGATAGGAGAACTGAAATGGAAGCCAGGTATAAGTTCACAAAAACACTGAATTCCACAACAGCACTTAACACTGGAATGAAGTATTACAGTACTCTATCAAAGAAAAGGCACTTTCCCAGCTCTCAGGAGACTCTGGCTTTTCATAAGCCTATGAGAGATACAGTTTCTTCTGACTATATCAAACGTACTTTATTAAAATCATATCTCAGTTTAAGAAGTTGAAAAATAACAAACCCAACCTTAATTCAAGCTATAGAATACTGCCAGCAATCCATAAAGAATCTACATATTAAGAATTCTGACACGCTAATGTAAGTTGCAGAGCTGTACAACTGTAATTATTCCATAGCTCATC